TTTTGTTGTATTTTTAATAGGTTTTTTAGTATTTTAGTTGTATTTTTTAGTATGCTTTTAGTATTTTTTTACTGCATGTTTTGGTATTTCTTGTTAATGTTGTTGTTGTTTGTTTTTTTTGGCGAGTCGAGACGGTTCTTCTCGTCCTGCATTTCATTGCATTGTTGACCTTGTGTTGATTTTGCATATGACAAACATAAGTGCATAAGAGCAACTAATAAAATATTGTAATAGGATAGTTATGCATATATTAAGACATATTTATTTATATATTTATTACAGCGTTTGTCCCAAATTATGATTTTTCCCAATAAATTGCAGTCACTTCATTTATTGTGACGTTAAATGTTGATATTGGATTCATATAAATGGCTTAATTAAGTACTATTTTGACTGATCTATAGTCAGTCAGTATTACTGTAATGTCCATCTACTTGATTATTTAACAAAAGTTGTTTAATCTCCAAAGAGGATTTCTCTAGCAGTAACCTAAACGACCACATTGTAAATAACATAATTACAAAAAGTGATAACTTAATCTATAATCTTAAAAACAAACTACACACATGTTGTACTTCCTTGAGGTTGAGGATAAATCGATGATAAGAGAATAAAATGCAGATTTGTGGTTTTAAAGATGAAAATGTGGACTCAAATTATCTAACCACCTAACCTCTCTGTTTTGTTCCTTTGTTTCATTTTCATATGATAACAGAGAAAAAAAAATGCTATGACACACTTGAGAGCAAGACTTGCATTATCTCGTGTAATGGGACATCTAAAATCATTAGCCCCCACCACCCAATGTATTACACTTGATGAAGAATTTAAAATAGGTAATTGTTTTCCGCTTCATGCACAAATAGTGATTAAAAATAATAAATACCATCCCTCTGTGTCGCTTTCTGTTTTTCTTTATCATCCCTTTATTCACATCTACCCCCTGCCACCACAGAGTGCATTTATCATTCTGTCATACAGCCCCCCCCCCTCCACCCCTTCTGTTTCTTTCCTATTTGTTTATCTTTCTGTCTGATGTCTATTCATATTAATTTCTGTGTTGGAAGTTTATTATCACCGCCATCCATCAATCGTCTTCCTCAGCTCGTCTCTTTTACCTGCGACAAAAATAGTGTTTTTCAAAACAGAGCCCACTTTCACCTTCCTCTCTGATTGTTGTCAGAAACAAATTTGCAGAGTTATTCTAAAAGAGGGGGTGGGATGGAACTGTACAAGCTGTTATTACTTTGCACAAATCTGTTTCAAGAATATATATATATATATATATATATATATATATATATATATATATATATATATATATATATATATATGTCATTTGTTTTACCAGCATGAGAAGAAAAAGGAGAGTTACAAATGACGGTTTTTCAGGCTCCGTTGTGGAAATATATGATTTATTGATAAGATACTGAGAGGCCCTCAAAGATCTTCTCACTAAATACAACAGAATTTTCATGTATAGTACAAATTGTTTGACAATTTGATGTCAACTTGCTATCAAAGTGATACAGCTTTCCAGTTCAGAGGAAACTAGTATTTTTATTTTTTTTCATTCAACCTTTATACAGATTAGTCTCATTGATCCATGAGGACTCATTTCCAAGAAATACCCATTTTTTTAAAAAGGATGCAGATGAGGTACAGACAACAATAAAAAAAAAAATCTTGTAAAAATCATATTAAATGAAAAATAAATAGAAGAAATGAAATAAAAATGAACAAAAACAGCTAGATTGTAAAGCAGTGTAAAATACTAACAACAGGAACATGTCTGCGTTTGATTTTTTTTGCCATGAACTTAGCAGATGTTTAAAATCCCTTAGAGAGGTCAAGGTCAGGAGCTTCAGATCTTTGTGCAAGGTGTTCCAGGAAACAGAAGTGGAGAAGGAGAAGACCCCTTTGCCTAGTTCGGTTCGAACTGAGGGGACACCGCAGGTAATTATGTCCAGATATGTACCTGTTTTGCTCGTTCTTGTTAATCTTGTTTAAAAAAACAGTCAATCTTAAAAGAGATTCTGGATCCATCTCCTCCCGTGCTTGAACGCAAATCCACCCCCACCCCCACCACTCACACCTGCTCCAGTACTTTCTCCATTGACACTGCCTTCATGTGCTTCAATTCTCGGTTGTTGAGTTGCACGAGATTACTTTTAAATTTTTTTAAATTTTATGAAAATAAATTGGACTGTTTTCAACATTTTGATCGCTGTTATTTCAACAAATTGGTGCCGTTGTTTTGATACATGACGGACGTAACATGATTACCCATCAAACATTTATCTCATTGCATTTTTAATAAATAATAAAAAAAATATTAATGACCCACTTAAACTGTAAAACTGATTTGCAATTTAGTTGTGTTTAATTATATATGTTTGTGTTTTTCATTAAATTGCCCATGACTGTACTTTTAGGGGCAGTTAATTTTTTTAAGGATAGAAGCAGAAATGCTTACTTGAAGGGGCAGATCAGCTCTGATGTGATATTAAGAAGCTCATAATTGGCTGTTATGTTTAAAATGAGTGTTTATACAATTATTTTCATATTTCTAGTCCAATATAGGTTTTATTTGTTCAAGGCAGTGGAACTTGTTCATAACTGTATTACTAGTAACTCTGAGAGTTACCGGATCCAAGTAAACGGTTACCGGAACACTCCCTGTCAAAATAAGAGAGTTCCCAGATTCTGTACCGGCAGGATCCGGCTCAAATTAAGCACTGACCTCATCCTTCTAAGTTGATGTACGTGGTGGTATTCCTTTCATGGTTCCTGCATTTGTTGATGTGCAGAGCCACCATGGGAACCCCAAATTTACAAGACAGAAAGCTGTAAAGTGCAAACTGTTAATTTCTCATGTTTTACTCACCATCCATTAAGCCTCTCATTCATCTCTTAATTCTTTTTTTTTTTTCTTTAAACAAAGAATGTGCTTTCACCTTTGTCTCTGGTTGTTGTCAGAAAGAAACTTACAAAGATTTTATAAAAAAAAAAAGAGGGAGGCTTGTTCTGAATTTGTTGTTGCTAGTTTACACAACTCTGTTGGAGGTAAATAGGCAGCATTTGCTTTCGGTTTTACCAACACAAGAAAAAAAAAGATGAATTACACATAAGGATGGAAATATTCTACCTTGTATGTTGAAAGGGTTATCGATGACAAAGTTTCCATTCCACACCACGGAGAGGTCAACTGGCAGGTCACTGATATCACTGCCCTCATAGTCATACTGCAAAAAAAAAAAAAAAAACAGACAAAGAGCGTGTGAGAAATTGTAGATTTATAATGAATTCAATGCAAATTGGGAACCGCGTGAGAAAATGTTTCATTTGCATAGTGATTCACCCAGACTTGTTCTACGCAGACGGCAACACAGCTCAAAAACACTCGCATGCATAAATCCAAATCTTCCAAAACGGACATATTTCATAAACACACATTGTGGAGATGGGTTACAGTTGAATAGGCTTGGGGGAATGGGAACTGAGATGAGGAGATAAGGGAAGTGATATGGAGGGAGATAAAACAAGACAGTTGACAAGGAGGAGATAGGGAGAAGGATGGGGAGGTCGTAGAGGTGGTGAGATGGTCAGGGAAGCGAAGGCATCCAGAAATCGAACACTGACACATGCGTGAAAGGACCTTATTCATTTAAACATAAGCTAAGTGGTGGGATGAGGAGAAGGGAGAGATAAGATGCGGAGCATGGGAAAGTGAAATTGGCATTTTCAATTTGCTCACTGACACACTGGATCTGGTGAAACGCACACACACACACACACACTCTTATGTTGGGTTCTGAAACTTCACAATAAACTCTGAATGGGTTCTGTTGCTGCATTCCTCTAACAGGAAGTCAAAGTGTATAAACTGAAGTGTTAAAAGTTGATATATTTGAATCTAATTACTGTTTAAAAGGATTACTTTGTATTATTTTTGTTTGTTTTGTGACAGGGCTGCACGGTGGCGCAGTTGGTAGAGCTGTTGCCTCTTAGCAAGAAGGTTGCCGGTTCATATCCTGGCCCGGGACCTTTCTGGGTGAAGTTTGCATGTTCTCTCTGTGCATGTGTGGGTTTTCCCCGGTTACTCCGGTTTGACACCCGTGACCCAAAAATGATGAACCGGGTAAAGATGATGGATGGATGGATGGATGGATGTTTTTTTTGACAGGTAAGAATTTGATAGATAATGGATTTGATTGAGACTCGATACTTGAGGAAAATTTACTGATTTCTCCAAAATAAGTAAAATGAAATAATGTAGTGTGGCTACATTTAGTCTGAGCACCGAGTATAAACAGTTACACTAAGAAAGAAGAATTTCTCATGTTGATAAGAAACGTTTGACTTAGCTGAAACCAAAATGATTACAAAGACTAATTAGTTTAAATCAAGATTAATTATTTTATGTACAATGATGGACACTTCAATTCAACTGAAGTTTGTTTCGCAGCATAGATACATAAAAAGTAGATAGGAAGTAGGGACCTTCAGTACACAATTTCGTTCCACCTCATGTACCGCATGTGATGTGAATGACAATAAAGTCACCATGAACCTTGAATCTTAAAAAAAAAAACTTTGTATCCTTATCAAAATATTCAACTACTGCAAATCTAAATGTCATGCCTGCATATTTAAAATAGTATCATCAATACCAGCAATTTTGTGAGTTTAAAAATTACATTTTGTATCATATGCACCTTATAGACTAAATAAAACATTGAGCTTAATGGGTTGTGTGTTGTCTAATAAATTACTCATTTTGTGCAATGTGAAAACAGCTCAAGCTCACGTGTTGAATGAAGTGATGAGATTTACAGTACAGCTGTTTAAACCATCCATTTTGAATTTCTGCAGGACATTTGTCTTAAAAAATATTTAAAGAATGCTCAAGAGGACTCTTGCAAGTCCACGTGCTGATAATCGTTGCTGCTTTATTTCTAATTAACTGTATGTTTAACATTTGCTTGTCAAAATTGTGGATAAATTCACAACAATCCGACCTTCCTTTACAAAAAGGAAATCCAGAATTTTGGCCATGAAAAGAAAACTGAGCAACTTGGTGTACATTTCTGTTTCTTCTATATTAGTTGTCTGTAACAGGAACTGTACCAGATGTATTTGTACTTTAGTTTTAACAGTGCATCTTTGCAGAAATCAGACAACCTCATTCTCTCACTTTCACACATTCTCCTGATCATTTCAGTCCATGTTTGAAAAAAAAAAAAAAAAGCAGCTAAAGGGAGTTTCAATGAAAGAGATGAAACAAAAGTAACAATATAAAAAACAGAATCTAAATAAGCGTACAACAAGGAGACCTTATGAACAGTCACAGAGAACTGTAGAAAGTCTGAATCTCTGCTGAGATATTAGGATGATGAGATGCCACAGACCAATGGAACCACAGGATTCTGGGAGGTCAACAACTCCACGAGAGAGGGATTAAACTAAAACAGTCTTTCAACACAAAATAAAAGCTGGTTGAACTTATTCACTTCCCACGAGTGGTTCGGTGTGACCCTGATCCATCACACTAGAGGTAGGCTGTTGACTTTATTAGCATGCTTTTTACATCCCACAGCTCAAGCAGTGTGTAAGGCAGCCCAGTGAAACCACAGGACCCACGCACACACGCCCACATACTATTACTCCTTCTGTGGCATGGCCTCCATTAAACTTTAAGGGTTTCAACTTGTCCACCAGCACCAAAACACTGGCTGAGCTTGTTCTCCTGTTGGTCCCTGCCCACCATATCATGCTTTATTCATACTGTCACATGGTTTAAAATGCTAACACAAACCGCACTGTGACACCGGGCCACGTAGTGCCACGGAGCATCACCCACCATCTAACTTCCTTCCTCAGGGAAGCTCTGGAGCAGCTGAAACATTATTGAACATTGATCCAATGTGAAAAAAAAATGAACTGAGGGGGAAAAGAGACAGGGAAGGACAGTTAAATAAGAGGATGCATGAAGAGATATAAAGGTAGGTGGATGGATGGATGCATGAAGAGATATAAAGGTAGGTGGATGGATGGATGGATGGATGGATGGATGGATGGATGGATGGATGGATGGATGGATGGATGGATGGATGGAGGGATGGAGGGATGGATGGATGGATGGATGGATGGATGATCCATACATCCAGGATGGCCAGTTAAGAGGAAAGATGAAGAGATAT